TATATATATATATATATATATATATATATATATACAGTATATATTTATGTTTAAATGTATATATGTGTATATATAATATATAAACATATATATGCATACATACACATGTATATTAGTAGTTTTTGTTTGATTAGTATTATGTATTTGTAAATGTATAGACATTTTTACTCATCCCCACTTTTCTCTTCTCTTCCAAAATATAAATATAATTTAAGGTTGATTTTCTGGAGCACTAGTCTGTATTCAAATTTTTATTGATGTTATTTTGGCAGATGAAATATTTCACCTCTGTTCTCGGTTGTTTACAGTGGATTTCCCATTGTTTTGCTAACAGGTGGTTGTACACAGTGTAAATTCACGAGGGACTGCATTCATCTAGACACAATTACCATGAATGACTACTGGCTATGACTTTTTTTCCAGCTGAGTAAATGCTAACCAAACTGTGGGCTTCAGTTAAGACCGACTAATTAAACCAAGACTCACAATGTTTATATAAAACGGAGAAATAATTATCACCGTGTGTTGCTGAGGTTTTTATAATGTGTGCACATTATCAGTGCCTTTTTTCATTCTGACAGGAAAATGGCACTGATTAACACTGAGTACTTAAAAAACATATGAACATATGAGTTATTGGCACTATTTTAAAGGACTTTGAATTTATGTTTGTTATGTCATTGTTATTATTTAAAACAACACCTGATTATGAAATCACATTAAAAACAGTTATCATTTATTTACCACTCTAATGACCTTAGCAAAGAGATCTGTAGTCAGGCTAACAGAGAAAATAATGAAAGTTACACTATGCAGTTTATACCTGCTACACTGAGGTTAATTACAAACACGTTAACGTCATCCTATGTCATAAACTGTCATATCAGTACAGTGGAACCTTGAGATACGAGCGTCCCGATATAGTATTCCAAGATGCGAGCAAGCCCTCGATTAAATTTTAGCTTTTAGGCACGAGTAAAGATTTGAGATACGAGCACGCTTACAGAGGCCGACACTCGGCGGCCGAGCACTCGGAGCAGCCCACGCTGCCTCACTCGTTCACTTCACGTGTTCGTCGACTTCCGTACGCATGTCCCACGAGTTATCTACGTGATTTTTCACATGCTGCCATTAGCCGCGGATGTATCATCTGTCTCGAAGGTAAAAACTGGTAATTAAAACCACATTTTATTTTAAATCACAGGAATCCTTATGTACTATAACAATAATATTTGTTTCCATTGTAATTAGCAGTAATAAGGGAGATATATATATATATATATATGCTTTTATGTGCATTAGTTGTCTCTGATCCTCTGTCAGTCCACACACTGCTTCGACTGTATTGAAGACTCCTGCTGATTTCCTTTATAAAAAATCCTTTCATCACAGAATTGTCTGCCGATACTCCTTCAGGACGACAGTCATTTGTATTGTGACGAATTCTCTCCTATTCCGTGCTGATCCTTTCCCGGCTCTCCGTCACATTTCTTTTTTTATTCTCAAATCCCGTGGTGAGGCACAAGTAGAGACAAGAGAGGATGTGAACGTCAGACACTAATTACTGAATGCACTCCTGCCGTGAGATTGAGAGAGTCATTAAACAAAAACAGTTAAAAGGCTGCTTGTGGCCCATTCTCTCTGCCATTAGTCTTGCACTGAGTTGTGAGCTTGTGTTCTCCACTGGGAGCAGATTGCTTTGTATTTTACCCGAACTGACCATTGAAAAAAAAAACACGGCGGCAGCACATTTCCACTCCTCATCATGTCGACGTTATGTTTTTCCATTCATTCTTGGCAACTCTGTCAGCGTGACCTCAAAAAGAATGATATTCATGGAGCACAAATAACTCTCCCTGCAGCGTTCACTTCATTCAATGTGTGCATTGGATCATTTTTGAGACTGAGATATTTATTTATTTTATTTATTTAATATTCTTGTCTGGAAACAGCACCTGCACAAATATGCATCATGTACTTAACCATGTACTGTACTTTGACCACAGTATATGTTGGCTGAATTAGTACAAATATTTCAAGTATTTTAATTAACAAAGGTAAAAGAATTGGTACACAAAAATATTCTTTAATTAAACAACAGCAAAGAAACACACTGTAATCATTATTGGGCCATATATATACTGTATATATATATACACACACACAACTCACAACTCTCTAATGGTGCCACACGGGATATGTCGTTCCTCTGGGCCTTGAACTCAGAACCCTCTTGTGTAAGGCAGATGTATAAGGCAGTTCTAAGTGCTAAATGCTACATTAGGAAGAACTTCACCAGGTAGAAATCTTTTACATTACTGCAGCAGCAGTAGTGTGAGAGAGTTGCTAAAGCAACAAAATGCTAAAGAGGCAGATCGAAGGTAAAACAACACTGAAAAAGTAGAACCACCGTGGCCCCTCGGGTAACAGCAGCAATCACAAAAACATTAGCGATAGTGTGATCGTACACAGTACAAAAAAATAAATATATTGTTAAAGAAGTGTAGCATAGCTTGTTTCTGTTACACATAGACAAAAATACACAACCATTTCTTGTTTGAGTTTTTTTTTTTACATAATGTTAAAACTAGCATAATGCTAACAGCTTTTGTTAGCTACTGACAGGGCTCAGACAGACGGTACTAATGTGACACCGCTGTCTCTGAGTGAATGGGGTTATTACACACTATATGTGGAGCACAGTCAGGCTGCCTCTCACACACACACACACACACACACACATTTGAACAGCCAAGCTCATTCACATAGCCACGTCCTGTTAGCTGCACCTGCAGAGGGGAAGCCGTCACCTAAATACTGTTTGACATGCGGGGATGGATTTCAGAGCGGAGCCAGGGTCTACATTTTAAGCTGGAGATGGAAGACAAAAAAAAAAAAATATCCGTGAGCGTACTCCCACATCACACATTTTCAGAATGATGTGTTTAGGCGAGAAAATGTAAAAGAGCACGCAGGTTTCTGACAAAGCTGTGCTCCGCGTCGTTCCTCCGACAAATGTAAACGTGTTCTTTTCCCTTTGATGTGAGTTTATAACTGAAAGGGTCTGCGCTTGTGTGGAAAGTATGAAATATGTGGCAAAGTACTTCAGTATTCTCCAGCCGTGCAAGTAGGTTTGTGTGTGTGTGTATGGTAATAGTTACAAACCCTTTAGACAAACATAGCCAGAGGACGATTGTTACAAACCCCTTTTAGACAAACATAGCCAGAGGACGATTTTCAGGGACAACGCTCAAGTAGGAGCCGGCAGTGTCCAGAAAAAAAATGGATGGCCAGAGGGAAAGCTGGCAGTGGCAGGAAAAATCCCATAATGCATTCATTAATTCAATACACTCAGAAATGACTGTGAAACTGTCTTTTATAGATGACACTGAAGCACCAGGTCTTCAGTTTCAGAACTTGGGTTTCTTAGTTCTCCTTTGTGTGTATGTGTGTGTATAACAAGGCCAAAGCTGCCTGTGTTTGTCTGAGTGTGAAACTATACCTGTGTAGGATGCTTTTTGGGACGTATTTGTCCTTGTGAGGACCATTGTCTTGGTGGGGACATTTTGTAAGTCCACACTGACTAAGATGGTGTTTTGATGTTTAGGTTTAGGATTAAAGTATTTGATTTTGGCTAAGATTAATGGACACAGGAAAGATGTGTGTGTGTGTGTGTGGACTGTTCGTTACACAAAAAGCACTTTGTGTGTGTGTAGTCTTAGTGGGTCTTTATGTGTAACTAATATTTATGTACTTAGTTTTGCTGGGACATATTGCAGGTAATTATTTAAAGATTATTTTCAGCTTCAAACTTTAGTTTGAGGTCGAATTTGAGTTATTTAGTTCATTAGTAAGGATTAGGATTAGGGATTTATTTGTGATATTTAGGCTAAAAGTGGAGTTAAGGAACAAGGTATTGCATTCTGTCTATGTGAACTGCACACAACACAAATACAGGTTTGTGTGTGTGTGTGTGTGTGTATTTCACCTCATCAAAGAGCAGAGGCTCGGAGAAGTGACTCATCAGTCCGTTGCTTCAGGGACCATACATGTCGAAGCATGTGGGTTTTAAATGAAACCCTGTGGATGGG